TTTTTTTTTTTTTTTTTTTTTTTTTTTTTTTTCTGCTTAGTGATTTACCAGTAGAACAAATACTAAAAGCAAAATGTAGTTTGCAGTAGTCACTGGTAGATAGATTACAGAAATCAGTTTTGCCTCTAAGAGGTGTGGTGTTCAGATGCTGTCCATGACTATCATGCCTGTACACTCCATATGCATCACGTCAGACATGCCATAGTTAGTAGAAACATGTCTGCTCTGTTCTCGTCTATAAAGGGATGGGACATCACTGAGGAAACTGAGGTGGACCTGGCACTGTCTTTTATGATGGCCTTGATGTATCAGTCAAGCGCTCTGCCATCTGGACTACCTCCCTGCCCCTGGCCTTTGTTGTCATTTTTCCAAAGCATTCTCTCATGATTTTCAACAAGTTACATTTGTGAGAGACTTGTCTTTGTAAGTACAAAGAAAGCGGTATGACCTGGACTTTGAGCAAGAAGTGTAGTAGATTTGATTTATTCTTGTATATGCCATTTCTGATGTTGACACGCCACCTTCAGTCAGGCATACCTGAAAGTTTTTTTTGTTTTTTTGTTTTTTTCCTTTTCCCCCCACATATCCAGAACAGCTTTTGGAGACTTGGCATTGTCCCCCTTTTGGCACAGAATACAAGGACTCTGTACCTCAGCAGGTGTAGTGTGTGCTTAGCCTGTATGAAGCCCAACCACAAGAAGCAGAGGCCTGCTTCATGCTCACAGCACTACCCCTGGCTAGGGAGGTGTCCAAGGCTGTCCACTGACTGTGCTGACGCAACACGGGGCATAGTAAAAGGCAATGGTGATTGGTGCTTCACAGCTGAGGTGAAGCAAGCCAGCCTGTCTCCCTGATCCTCCCAACCATCGCTTATCCTAAATTGACCTCTGTGAGAGTAAATATGGAAGCTACTCTCCTTTGCCTCAGAGTTGACACATTGGTGCTGATTAGAGTCACATGGCTCAGCAGTGTCCTCCATGTCATCCTACCCACTCTATTTGTAACTTTTATATATCTGTTGTATGAGTATGTACAGTTGCTCACAAAGGCCAGAAGAGGGTGTCAGGTCCCTGGAGCTGTAATGAGAGGTACGAGAAACTTGTGCTGAGCGGTATTCTGTTTAAGAGTTTAGCTGCTCCCAGAATTGCTGTGGTCCACAAGACCATACAGTAAGATTCCAGTTGACATATTCACCAGGCTAACCCACTGGAATCACCATCAATTGTATTCCTATGGAGGAAAACCCCATTTGCAAAGCCTTAGGGATTCCTGCCTTTTGAATAGTCACTGTCATCCCTATAAAGCCCTTGTGAAACAATAGCGCTCCCCCTTTTCCATAGTGGGATTTATCCCCCAAAATGCCAGCAGTGAAACCCTGACTCAGAAAGTCCAAAAATAAATAAATCCCAGCAGTGTATTAGTCAATTATTGGACACCACTCCCTCTTGTACTGGTAAACTGGATAACCCAGGGGCCCTGGTGTGGAAGCATTAACACACTAGGCAATCTTTTGCCCTCATAGTTAAATCTGCATAAATTAAAAGCTAGCTCCCTTCAGTTATCTCTTATAGACCACATGCAGAGCCTCAAAAGACAGGAGACACAGGTGGCAAGCAGGCCTGAGTGGCACCAATCCCTCTGACAGCTCAGGGAGAAAGCAGCTTATTCGCCTGCTGGCTTGCTGTCATAGCTTCTCCCTTTAATCTAGTGTTCATAGGCAGTTGGTG